GGGGCCCCACTCGCCAGCCCCCCAGCTGCTCTGCCCCAGGCGTCCTGATTCAGCCACTGCTGAAACTGACTAGCAGCGGCTGAATCAGGGATGCCTGGGGCAGAGCTGGGCTATCAGAAGGGGGGGCTATGAGGGGTCTGGGGTGGCATCGCCCCCACCCCACCCTAGACTCCTCATAGCCCCCCCTTCTGATAGTCCGGCATATTTGATAATCCGGCACCCCCTGGGTCCTAAAGGTGCCGGATTATCGGAAGTTTACTGTATAATGTAATTATTTGAGAATTAAAATTTTAGAGTCAGAAACACTTGATGCATGGGTGGCCACATTCTGGCCCATGGACCAGATCCAGTCTGCAGGGTTAGTCCCTGGTGGGCCTCCACCTCTATATTTACCTGGGACTCTGCAGGTATCAGGCAATTACAGCTCTAGTTGGCCGTGAATCACTGTTTGCAGCCAATGGGAGCAGCAAGAAATGGTGCCGACCAGGACACCCCTTCCTATCGCTTACATAGGCCATGAACGGCAATCCACAGCCAACAAGAGCTGTGATCTCCCAATACCAGTAAATATAGCAGCAGTGGCCTGCCAGTTTCTAAAGACTGGCAGGCTATCATTTTTTTTATTATTACCCACCCCTGTACTAATGTGTCCCCTGAAAACTTGTGAATTTAAACGTGTCTTTTCTCTTTTCCATGGCAGGGGGTGGGGGAAACCGCACAAACAGCAAATTGACCAATTATATAGAGAAAACAAACACACATGAGTCATCTTAAATATTTGAGAGAGTTTGTCTATGAGTGTGTATGTTTTGTCTATTCAAGAACTCCTCCTAAATGGGAAGAGGTAGGACCAACAAATTTGATATGCAGCTTATCATAACTTAAAGGTAAGGGTTTGGCTCTGCAAGGAAAATGGGATGCCCCCGAAATGGGGTATGGGATGGAAAACAGGGATACTAGTACTGTATAATGACCACAGGGGTCAGCAAGGGGCCAGACATGGGGATCAGGACAGCTATAACCCCAATGGGGGTTGCCAGGGTGGAGAAAGGGACAGCTATCTACTATGTATCTGAGAGAATTTATCTGTGTGTCTGTCTGTTCCCCAGCAGATGACATATATCCCTCCCCCAACAGTGGCCGCTGCAGCTCCAGTGGCCATGGAGAGGCGCTTCTCACCTGGCCCCAACCTGCTGTAGTGAGAGAGAGCGCTAGGGTAGAACTCTCTACCCAAGGAAGCCTGCACACTGAACCCTCATCTCCAGCCCCACCTCACAACAATGATTTAAATGAAGAAAACCAACATTGAGTCAAGGATGCAAGCAATTTTTGTTGTTGTTGTTAAAGAATGTTTTGGGATGAAAAAGTTACTTAACAGCTTCAAATTATAGCACAGAACAGCATCTTGTAACAGATGTAACACCTGGAAAAACACATTTCATCTTAGGACAATTTCACTGGTAAAAGAATTAAATACAAGAATCCAGATTACAGAAAAGATTACCACATTAGAAAATTTGTGTGTCAAATTTTTAACTTGGACTAGAAAAACTTTCCTCAGAGAAACTGAAGTCTCCTAACAGCCTAACTGACAGTATATTGTGTGTGTTCAGTGCTTTTTTGAATACTGTTTTAGATCAGTAATGACATTTTCTGCAGTTCTATACAGCCAAATCTAACTCACCCAATACTTGGATTTCCTTTCAAAATGTTCAAGGCAGCTTCTGCGGCTCTGTGTTTTGCAATCTTCTTGCTATGACCTTCACCTGTATTAAAATAGACAATCTGATATCCTTATAACATGATATTCTTATTAAATTGTTACATCATCTATGGATGTGAATGGTTAACAGGTAAGCATCACCTTTAATGGATGATGCTTACTGGTTACTGTTAAATGGTGGGGGCTGGAGTATTCTCCTGCCCATTCTAGCCTGGAGGGGCACGTGGCAGGCCTGGTGCACTCCAGCTCAGTCAGAGCAGCCCCGTGGTGGGCTGCACTAGGTGTGCCACGGGCAGGAACGCCTCCGCCTGCCCGTTTAATCGGTTAACCTTCATGTTTATCTAGTTAACTAACTAAATGGGATTTTACCCCTAATGGCATCCCTGTCTGAAATCTTTAAAGCAAGCACTCTGTGATGTTGCCCTATTCCTGACATGCTTCATCTATCCCTGTGTTGAGGTTTGAGATTGTGTCCTCAGAAGGCAGGCTTGGGTGGCTTTTTATAGTGCCTTTGCTAAGGGAATCTAGGGTGTATTTTGTAGGAGATGTGGGGATATAGGGACAGTACAGGCAGTCCCTGGGTTACGTACAAGATAGGGACTGTAGGTTTGTTCTTAAGTTGAATTTGTATGTAAGTCGGAACTGGTACATATTGTAGGGGAAACTCTAGCCAAACATTTCTCCAGAGCTCAGTTTTATTCTCCCACACCTCACTTCCCTCAGTCCTTTATTCTCAAGCTGAGGTGTCTGCTGAGAAAAGCCGCTCCACGTCTCCCTGGTCTGCTGGGAGGGGTGCTAGCTTTGCGTCTCCCTGGTCTCCTGGGGGGAAACAGCTAGTGCGGGGTTGCCTCACCCCGTTTGTAAGTAGGGATCTGATGTAAGTCGGATCCATGTAACCTGGGGACTGCCTGTAACTAAATAGAAGACTCCTCCAGAATCTGGAATTTGAACCCCAAATTCATGAATCTCCTTATCCCTCTGTTAGCAAATAGGTTTGAAACCCACTGGTACACTGTTTCCCATCTCATTTTAATGATAGTCCACAGAGAATAACAGCATATTATTAGTTGCTGCATTACCTCAAGTACTGTGCTCTGAATCCTGCTAATGAACTGTGAAGATATTCTGTATCAAAGAACTATAATGCCTTAAGTTTTTAAAAAACAAATACACCTAGGCTATGACATCCCAAGATTGCATAGAAAGGGAGCAAATCAAAGATGCACAAGCAACTTTAATTATAGTATTTCCTTGACTTCTCTGTACTTGACTTCACAATCATAATGTTTTTGCATACTCATACGTCCCTATCATGAAGACAAAATATTGGTCTGTTTGGATTAAACTATACCTACAAATACTTAGTTTCTAGTGGTTAGGTTTTTCAGAATCCTCAAATTAGCAGGCAGCTCTTGGAGCTTTTCCCTTCAGTATGTGAACAGTCGTACGTAGCCTCAGTTTATAGTTCTTTACCTTTCTTACTGAATTTTCTGAAAATATTAAATCAGAATTAACAGCCTAAAACTGCACTGTTTAATATTTAGTCACATGTGAAACTCAAAGTTTAAAAGCTTGCCTTCCAGTATTTGTCAAACATATTAACCCATTAAATAAATGATTATTTTTGTATTTTCTAATGAAAAACACAGCGGAAGGAAGATTTTTTTCCTGAAACCACTACCAACAACCATACCAAAGTATAGCAACATTACAGACCTGTGCCCGTTATGTCACCTACTGTAACTTTAAAGGTGAAACTTGGAAGATGTACTTGTCCTTCAGCCTTTTCAAACTCGTACTCAGGAGTGATACCACACTTCGTGCCATATTCATGTAACAACTCAATTGGTGTTTTCCCTGGTTTTGCAACAATCATTTCCTCCAAGCTACAAAGAAAAGATTTATCATTTTAGAAGGGAAATCTGTATTTAGAGCTGATTTTTAAAAAATGGGAATCGCTGTTCCCTGTTTCACTACTGTTACCAACACTTTCAAGAAATTTTAATATTGGCTCCTATGGTACTTTTCATCCACAGATCTACAAGCATTTTACAAAAAAGGGGAAGGCATCATTACGTTGTGGTGGGGAGACAAAGATATAGGGATGCATAGTACTTATCCAAGAGCCCATGGTATAGCATGCTTAGAACACAATGCAGCACCCTTCTCACTAGGCCAATATTATCTCTCAAATTTCCATCTTTTTTAAAGATGCAAAAGTGGCAAGGAGTCCTGTGGCACCTTGTAGACTAACTGAAGTATTGGAGCATAAGCTTTTGTGGGCAAAGACCCACTTCGTCAGATGCATGTAGTGGAAATTTCCAGAGGTTACATGCATCTGACGAAGTGGGTCTTTGCCCACAAAAGCTTATGCTCCAATACTTCAGTTAGTCTACAAGGTGCCACAGGACTCCTTGCCACTTTTGCATCTTTTTTTACCAGCTCTAGCTACTGTAAAAATAAACTTTCAATGGCTAGGCAGAAGTCTGAGCTTAACCTTGTTTCAAAATGCCCAATAAGAGGCTCTAGAGGTGGGTATGTTGCCCTTAAAACAGTAAGAAAGGAAGAGTATTATAGCTGCAGCAGAGAATGGGAAAAGATTGCAATGGTTGTCAAATTTTATGTATTTATTGGCAATCCTTTCACATAGCAAGCCTCAGTGTGACTCTTCCCCTCCCCCCAAAACACACACACTTAAAAATTAAGACTTTTTTATATTTTACACTATTTTAAAGTAATAGTTGCATGTTAATATCACTTTTCACAGCAGACATGTTAGCTAGCTGGGAGATATGTATTTGCAACCCCCCACATAACATACTTGCAACTCCATGAGGTTGCATGACTCTCCATTTGAGAACTTCCATAATTAGAGGAAAAACAGGTAGCTCAGGCAGTAACAACACAATTAATTTAGAAATACACTCGAAATAAGCTCTGCAATTTGCGTAGCAGAAATTGCATAGCTTATTTCCAGCTAAAGGTGCTGTGTAGACGCGCCCTGAGTTAGTTTTGGCTGCTACTGAATTGCACTGATGTTGAATCACCTCCTCATGAAGAGAAGTCTTATCATCTGTGTTTCAAGACAACTTGTCATCCTCCACTTAAGTTATGAAAAAAAATCAAACTGATCTCACTAACTGATAAAAGAAAAATTATCTGATACTGAAAGCCTGTACTGGCAATTAAGGGGAATGGGGACAAAGAATATGTTTTTCAAGTCTGGTGGAAGCTGCATGCTGCTTTAGAGGCAACTTTTCCACAGGTTGATAGGAATGGGGGAAAGAATACATTTTCCAAATAACATTCCAAGCTATTGTTGCTTTCTTCTGATCACCATGACAACTGGGAATGGCTTCAGTTACAACATGGACAAGTGATACAGATACAGAAAGTATTCACTACTTCTCCACAGCAAAGAAACAATCATTGGTGAGAAATATCTGAAGGCAACAGTTCCATAATGTGTGCAAATTCAATCTCTCTCAAACTCAGCAGGTACAAAAGTAAACAGTGTCTGGATAGCTTCTCTCCAACACACACCTAGCTATTTCAGTGATAGAAATATAGCCGTGTTAGCTATTTCAGGAACTGGTGTTTTAGGTGGGGCTACTCACATGCTTAAAGTCAAAGGTGAGTTTGTAGGATCATGGCATACAAACATTATCTTTGTCTGGCTTGGAACATGTACTAGATTTCCTTTTCCCCTCCCTGTATTAATTAAACTAAGCAACTAACTATGTTGCTGTTGGAAGTATCATGACACAAGCTCCTGCGCTTTTGTCAAATTGTCCTATGGCTCCGTTTGCGAAGCTGGGCTGCGGGGCACCAAGTGCTTTGGAGGATCAGGCTCTTACTTGCCAGGGGGGTGATTGACTGTCACTGCACCGATCAGTCTGCCCCTGCTGCTTTGCCCTGAACAAGGTGCGTGGAAGCCCCGGGCCCTGTCTCAGCTCTCACGTTCCCCCTGGGCAGGGACGCTGAGCCCTGTTCACAACGGCTACAGGCGTCAGCTCCGCAGAGAGCGGGGAGGGATCCGCAAAGGGGCTCCGGGTTGCTGAGGGGCAGGGCCAGAGGCGCACCGGCGGCAGCTACACTGGCAGCCCCCGGGAGTCGGGGCTAAGACCCAGGCCGAGGCCCC